TATATATATATATATATAATATATATACTATATATATAGACATACATATATATATATATATATATATATATATCAGACTTGTGTCCCTCCACAATACCGCAACTTCCCTTTCAGATGTATTTGTAATTTTATTCATCTCTCATGTTCCTCTCTATGGATCTAGATATCTTGATACAGACCCTCCTCTCCTTTCAGATATATTTGTATATCTATTCATCTCTCACTTTTCTCTCTATGGATCTAGATGCCATTTTACAGACGTTCCTCTGAGAAAGGGTTGTATCCCACTAGAGGTCTCCATTTAATAATTTTTCATTCATATGAAGTTTTGAATGGGTATAGAGTACTCTTTCATTTCTCTCCTCTTTTCTTTTGGCACTGAGAGCCTACTGGTCTCACTTCTTTTAAAATTACCTCTACACCCCAACATATTGATGGAACCTATACTCCGCTCCGTATATCATCTTTGGCCTATTTACACACCATCGGGGCATGCTCTACTAAGAAGGAGTAATGGAATGTTACACAAATGTACTAGCCCCTTGATCCATAGTATTACTATTCCGAAGTGAATTGTAGTTACCATCTTATCACACTACCTTTTTATCCGCATCTCACTAGAACACGAGAATTTAAGTTTCGATTACAGATATACCGATACCTGACCAGGTGATTTTTTTCGCATAACCCGCTACGTCAGTGTGCAATACGATCCATCAGACTTCAGGCTCCCAGATCATCTTACCTCACTCTGTACGCGAATGTGTAGGCGCATGTGATGTGCTCTACGAGTAGCCTGGGGGTCGCTTCGTCAGTTTCTCTCTGTCAGCCCTCAACTGCGCCTTCAGTCGTCTCTCGCCAGCCTTCCCACACGCGTGTATCGCCTCTGTATAACAGTCCCAGTTTGGCATCACGCCCTTCTTATGCATCTCCTCGATCAGGTCCACCGCGACAAGCGGCTGCTCCCCCCAACGGCACGCAGCGATACATTTGTTGTAGTCTCTGGTATCGGGGGTGAAGCCTGCAGCCTGCATAGCACGCAGACTATCGACAGCAACCACCCACTTCCCAGCCTTAATGCAGGACACAATTAATGCCTTGTATGTGATGATATCAGAGCCGATGTCTTTGTACTCCATGTCTACCATCAGGCCACGAGCGGCCTGCCAGTCGCCCACTGTACCACAGTTCACCAGAGCCGTATTGTACGCGAACAAATCAAGCTCCATGTGGTGACACTGCATCGTCTTGAGAAGGTCAGAAGGGTTCGCACACTGCTGTATATCCTGCCACACCTGACAGACCACGGTGTACGTCCTGTAACTTAAGTTTGCGTGGTCAGATTGCAGGCGTCGCAACACGTCGAGAACCTCGGGCGATCGCTTAACCGCACGGTATGCTGTCAGAGTACTGATATAGGTGCTGTTATCTATCGCTACATCAGTCTGCTGCATGGTTTGAAACATTCGAATGCCTTCCTCCCACTCGGTATCTCGATAGCAGGCATTTACCGCTGCGTTGTATATTAGTGGTTTGAGTGAGGGATTGACACTTTGTATTGCTGTCAACAAACTTAGCACTTCCGTCCGAGCCTTCTTATTCTTCAGTACGCCAACCAAAGCACTGTGGGTGTGGTTATTAAACCCCAACCCCTTTCTTTCCATTTCATGCAGCATATTTACAGTGGTACTCAATTCACCGTCTTTCTGACACGAACGAATAACCTTACAATAGAAATCATGGGTGGCTTTGTGAGCTCTCCCTTCCATATCGCGCAGTATTTCAAGCGCCAGTTGCCACGCACCCGCACTCTGACAGTCCGTCGCTATCAGCGAGTATGTGTTATATGTCGCCTTCTTGTCGTACTTCAACACGCCCCGATATATACTCGTTGCCTCTTGCAACTCCCCCTTATAAAGTAGTTGCCTTATTGCATTAAGCGAATGTATGGAGCTGTTTTCTAGGTTGAAGTTCATCTCCTGCATTACTTGTCGCGCCCTGACTGCATCCCCTTGTCTATCGTATGCAGCGTTAAGTGCCATATAAATAGCATGGTTGAGTTTAAACCCCTCCGACTGCATCGTCTCGATTAGTCTGTTTGCCTCCATAATCTGATCGTTTTGGCAATACGCGCATATGGCGTTCTTGAAAGCAGCAACATCCAACTTTAACTCTTTTTTGGTCATCTCCTCCCAGAGTAGGATTGTTTGCACAGCTTGACTGTTCTCTACACACACAGACATGACATGCCTATACGTCGTCGTGTCGGGTTCAGTTCCCACTACTTGCATCTGTCGTAATAATTCGAGCGCAATCTCCCACTTCTGAGATAGGGCACACTTCATCAACACCCTATTATACAAGTCTTTCTCAGGCTTTAGATTTGCCGACCCCATCTGTCGCAGAAGTAAGTAAGCCCTCTCCCATTCGCGCACTTTGCATGCTTTTATAGTTTGCACAAACGCTTGTCGACTGTGTATTGAGATTAGCGTCGCAGGCTCCTCTTCGCCCATCTTAACTTTTTGAAGCAAGTTTGTGCTCTTACCATCGTCCGTTGTATACCATTTCGCATGGGTCTTCCAACTCAGTCCCCTTGCCGCAAGATGTATATAAAGAGTAGTGGTATGGTGTCTATTGATAGAAGTATTCAAAAGAGAGTTTTGATTGCCGTACCCAGTTGATGTAGTATCCATGCCTCGCATAAGTGCTAGATAATGTTGTCTACAATACAGCCCAGTACGCCGTTCATATGCACATACTGTGCTACGAAGTGCTGGAAGCATACTCTCATATATCAACATAGCAACGTTATTTATCAGAAAGTCAAATAGTCACTATGTATTACTTCCATATTTTTTTGAATACAACCACATAACATAGCCTACCAAAACCTTTGTTCAATTGCCTTTGAAGGCATAGTCGTGTATTTATGTATTATTATATTCTGTGTAGACGGCTTGTTTATTTTCATACATACATTTTCATTACAATACATAAACACACGAGGCCATAGCCGCCATAGCCGCCATAGTCACATATTTAGCCCAAAAAAATAAAACAAGTGTATTTACATAGACGAGGCCAGTGTATTTTTAATTAATATTTTATTATTTCAAATATCAAATATTGTCGACAATCTTTGCATCATCGTCGATAGTCTCACTTGCAATCTTATAGGCATTGTTGTCTAATATATGATTACTGGTGTACTGCTCAGTGCTCACTATGAAATATCTTGGTATTTTATCCCAGCTTCTAGAACAACCAAGTATAGCTACTATTGGTCCTATTTTAATTACCGTTTTCACGGCAGATAGCAAAACAGCACACACATATAAATACATGGGCGCTAGTTCGACGTATTCTCCTGCTCGCCGCAAATGATGCTAGGTCATGATTTAAAAATGCACATAAATATCAGTCTATAGTATGTAGTTGATTCATATACGTACTTTGGTACATATGATATTTAAAATAAACTCGACTGTACGTGTTATGATGTGGCGGCACAAGTGCACAACCCTCTGGAAATCATCCAGGTTTTTGTGCGAAACACAAACTCCGACTTCCCGGGTGAATACAATTTCAATTCGAAAACCCCCAGGACAGACTTCTTTCTAGAGGGTCATAGCCGTTAACGTTTAGGGTTTACGAGTACTAGAATTAGTAGGGTTTACCCAAATGGGTATGGATATTGTTAGTTCAAATTGCTGTACGGTAGTTACTCGCCGGTTTGTGGTCTGATACCTCACTATACGTTATTTATCAAACTTGTATATGGCGACTTAACTACTGACTAGCACTAATTAGCTCAAATGTTTGCAGATCAACACTCT